TCACCGCGCCGATCTTGTGAAACTCCCTTCCCGCGGGCGTTGAGGATGAGCCATAACTGTGGCTCGCCAGGAGAGGTCGTACAACAAAAATGTGGACAACCGCCTGTCCCATCTGTCTGGTGTCGCCCCCTTGCACGTGTTGGTTTTGTCTGGGTGCTCATTAATTGGCCAATAACACCTTAACATGTAGAGGACCGCAGAGCTTGGCCAATTGTTTGTGCCAGTTCACCGCGCGGCTGCCTTCCTGCTTGTCTGTGGTTTTTCGCGCGTCTGAATTGTTCACTCTCTCTCTCTCTCTGTGAGAGTGAGCGAATACCGTGGGCATTAAAAGCTGATTTTTTTAAAAAAAGGTTTATGAACCAACCTGCTTTACTGCTATCTTATGGCCACCTCACAGCCTAGCGTACAACTTTGGGAATTTCATAGAATCTGCGCAATCCACAAAAGCTCGCCTCCAAGCCGCGCACTGGACCGGATCAGTTGTAATATTTATCAAGAGTGATTTTCAACCGGGAATAAAGGTCACCTACACCTGTTAAAATGGCATGGGAAAAGCCAACGGACGTGTTTTGGCCACGAGTAACAACCCTGCAGCTTAATCTATGTAGCTTATCAGTCAGGCTTGGTCAGTTTTTGGATGGGCGATCACAAAGTGCTGTTGTTGGCTCATTTAGAGGTCAGCCTCTCGTCCCTGGGCATTAGCAGTATCCGATGTCCGAGCGTTGTTCTAGAGGGCCCCGAACCTTGAGAGGCACCACCACGATCATGAGATGTTTAATCCATGAGCCCTTCCGCTCTGGGTTATGATAAATGAATATCCAGGAACTTTGTTCCGTAAGAAGCTGTGATGTTAATGCCAGCTAAAATACCATCAAAGGTCAATATCACCTTTGGTCACATCTAAATCCCCTTACCTGAATGAGTCTATGACATTTAGCAACCGCCCTGTGCACGCAGGATGTCTGGAAACATTAGGCAATTCAATGAATGTTAGCAGCATAACTGACCTTAAAATAGGACAAATTCCTCTGCAAGGACACTGGAAATGTTTCAATCAATATTAATAGCGCAGAGAGAAAATAGACCCTATGTTTTAAAGTGTAAATTCTGTTACATTACTTTAGAGGTTTTACTATCTGATTAAAAAAAAACATCCATTGGCTCGATAACATGAAAACAAATCCGGAAAAAACAGATATCAGTTTTGATTTTTGTATGTTTTATATTATTATCAGAGCCGGATTAAGCTAGTGCGGGGCCTGTAGCATATGTTATAAAGGGGCCCTAAATAAAAAATATATAAAAGACAATTATTTTTTACTTGCACAGTAAAGTAACTGTATTTTTACATTCGCTTTCCAGCCCAGATAATATGACAAATCGCTAACCTTAAACAACCAGTCGTTCATAAAAGTTGAAGGTGGTATAGTACTATAGTAATAGAGCAAGAGCAGAATCACTGAACCGGAATTGATAGCTTGAAAGCACTTAGCGGGTGGCCCTTGATAGTGCGGGGTCTGTAGTATGTGCTACTTTTGCGACTAGGAGAATTCGGCACTGGTTATTATATTAATATTATGATACGTTATATTTTCACAACATTGTGCACTTTGGTGGCCGGAACACCAGTGTGAAGGGTACGTTAGGATCAAACTATAACAACACCGCACTGAGCTCGACCCATTCGCAAAAATCACCAGCGTGAATGTTTTTACTTTAGCATCAAAATATATCAGCCAGGGCAGGAGGTGGACCATCAGAAAACAATGACAACAACAACATTGGACAATTTTCCAGTATCAAAGTATGAAAAAATAAGAATAGATGTTCCCATCTCTCGAAATAAAACAGGAGGTGTTGAGATATTCATACACCAAATATAAACCGTTTTCAAGGAATCACGTCTGCATGAAACCACACACGGGACTTGTGGTGAACATGCAAACAAACATTCTCCGATCATACACCCATTTGATTTGAAGCTTTCGTGACAGCAGGAATTACTCTTTGGCTCTTTTGGTAAAGTCACGTAGAAAGAAAAGAAAATAAATAATAGACTACGACGTTTCGATTGCAACACAAAGCAATCGTCATCAGGTAGAAAAGAAACGTAGTGAACTTAGAAATACAATGCCATACAGCACAGAGAGTCGGCTAACACAACAGTCAACACCCTACCTGGTTGATTCGTTCTTCCAAAGATTGCTAAATTTAAGAGAGAGACACGGAGACACACAGACAGACAGACACAAGCAGACAGAGACACAGAGAGAGAGACACACGCATAGACAAACAGAAAGACAACGCCTCTGTGTCGAGGCCTTAAATAGAGAGAGAGAGGGGGGGGAATGGGGTAGAGAACAATGAGAGAGTAGTGTGGAAAAGCAAAGTTTGTGGGGAATAATAGCCATTTTCTATACTTTTGAGGCATAAGCAATTAGAAAATAACACTTACTACCCAAGAAGATGCGGCTGGGGGGGGGGGGGGGGTAGCACGTGGGTGCTGGTGGCGGTGGGATTCGCCTGACGTCTGTGTCTCTCCGGTCAGCGGTGAGGCTACCGCGAGACGCGCCCGAGATTCACCGGCACCGTAAAAAAAACAAAAACGCAATTTACATTATGAGACCTCCTTTGCCAGTAGCAAGATATAGTAATAGGTTTTTACCCTTTTATCTGGCACCAAAACTGGCACCTTTATACAAGGGATCATGTTTGCATTAACCACAACACAAGCAGTCAAAATGCAAACAAAAAGAGACAACTCTGATAATGATATTGGCACTGTCCTTGAAATTGATTGGTCCACACCCGAGACGGCTTTTCTTAGAGCCTAGTCTCCACTGGTCCAACATGATCCCTTGTATAAAGGTGTCAGTTTTGGTGCCAGATAAAAGGGTAAAAACCTATTGCAATTTACATTTTTACTGTTCCTTAGAGGAGCGACTGACTTACGATACACGAGACGGAATGTATATACGCGCGTGTGTGTGTTTTTATATGTATAATAATTTTTATATATAATAAAAACACACGTTCCATCTTTACCGCCTTCGCCGTGGAGGTATTTGTCAGCGTGAGTATAATAACGAGCTTGTTAATGTGCGAGTGATCATCGCTGAGCGGTGGCGCAAGTGTTTGGCGCAGTGTGCCAACACGAGTGGCGAGCAATGGCCAACACGAGTGGCGAGCGATATCTGAACCGTTCTCCTGAGCCCATTTGAGAGGAGAATGTCACAAACTGTGCGAGGCATTGGTCGAGTCACCTCGCTCGTGATTCGGCGAATTGTCACAATTCGCGAGCTTTATTCTTCCTTTGCCATTCTGGTGAATTTACAACATTTATATGCGAATTTAAAATCACCGAGGTATGACACAATTTGCGGCATGTCTTGCAAAGAATCTGCTTGTGTTCCAAATGACGAATCATTACAAGCCTAAAATGTCCATAACCTAACTGGCCTATATCGTAGGACCTTTTAAACACAATTGTTGCACCAAATAAGCCTAATGTTTGGTTGGAAAAATCGTAATATTGTTTTATTTTATTGCTTACGAGCTCTCACATATTTGTGAATGTACAGCAATTGCTAATTTGACTTTAATAGGGATAAAGTAGTGTTAATTTGGTTCTTCTTGGGAAGCGTGAAATTGCTATTTTTCTGAACGCACGGCGATGTTATTGCTCTGATGAGCTGCCCTCGGAAGAAATCATCTCTGGAACAAACTGCTGCGAGACAATCCTCGGCAATAGGTGTTGATGTTGATGATGACTCTGCCAAGGCGTAGATGAAGAAGTCATCTTCACCCGAAATGCGATTGATGCCCACCACACCAGACATAATACTTAGGTGAATATCTCAGGAGTGACGTGAGCGATGAGCGTCTGGTGAGTATTTGGCGAGTATCTGGTGAGGTTCAAGAGTCAGGGTAAGTATCGCATCACCCAGTCCATTGGAGAGGCTGTTCCTCTTGTAAACAATAACCGAACATAATCTCACGGCTTTAGCGTGGTGCAGTTATTTCACACTTTGTTCTTGTTTGCCCAGGAAATCCTCACCGAGTCTCAGGACTCTCCCGGCAAATGTTGCAATGTGCAATCCGAATCGAGAATCATAATCGTTTGAGCTACGAGGCTCTCTTTTTCACTGACGTCCGGTACATTGAGTTTTGAGCAGGTACATTTTCAGCACTGGGATGTTTGGCCGTTACCGCTTACAGGAAATTGTATTTTAGCTATGCGAGCAAATCGGAGGACCTTAGAGGAAACTGGATGAGCCACCTTGCAGAGCAGAGGGAGAACATAGAAACTCCACACACAAAGGCAACTGACTTGGTAATCGAACCCAGGCCCTTCTTGCGGTGAGGCATGAAGTGTTACCACTGTGCCCACCCTATCGCTCGCGTAGCTAGTGTTACTATTTTGATTCTGCGTCGCTGGAAAATAAGTCTCTGATACAATAGGTAAACACGACAACCTACACCAGTGTTCTCCACTCATCTTCACCGTAGACCAGGTGAGTCTATGGGCCCCAGGTGAGTCTGTAGACCAGTGTTCTCCACTCATCTTCACTGTAGACCAGGTGAGTCTATGGGCCCCAGGTGAGTCTGTAGACCAGTGTTCTCCACTCATCTTCACTGTAGACCAGGTGAGTCTATGGACCCCAGGTGAGTCTGTAGACCAGTGTTCTCCACTCATCTTCACTGTAGACCAGGTGAATCTATGGGCCCCAGGTGAGTCTGTAGACCAGTGTTCTCCACTCATCTTCACTGTAGACCAGGTGAATCTATGGGCCCCAGGTGAGTCTGTAGACCAGTGTTCTCCACTCATCTTCACTGTAGACCAGGTGAGTCTATGGGCCCCAGGTGAGTCTGTAGACCAGTGTTCTCCACTCATCTTCACTGTAGACCAGGTGAGTCTATGGACCCCAGGTGAGTCTGTAGACCAGTGTTCTCCACTCATCTTCACTGTAGACCAGGTGAATCTATGGGCCCCAGGTGAGTCTGTAGACCAGTGTTCTCCACTCATCTTCACTGTAGACCAGGTGAATCTATGGGCCCCAGGAGAGTCTGTAGACCAGTGTTCTCCACTCATCTTCACTGTAGACCAGGTGAGTCTATGGGGCCGACTTTGACCCCCCCTTGTCACACGGCGTCACAAAAAGTCAGACCCCCCTTAATATGACGTCACAAAGCTCTGCCCCCTCTCACCCCCAAACCATATTTACATTTTGAAAATAAAACATGCTTCAAATCGCTCTAAACTATTGTCATTGTAGTGCGTGTTTAATATGGCGCTGCGCTCTGATGTTGTAGGTGCAAACATGTACTAAATACGAGGCGTTGGAAAGCTGAAATTTAACATAAAATGTACTTGAAAATATTAAACGTCTAACTAAAACTGCAGATGTTCAGAATATTATATTTAAATTCTCTTATAATTATTAATATTAAAAGTAATTATAACTATAAAAATACTTGAAACTTTGTTGTATAATATATTCATTCCACAGAATGAAAAGCCCTGGTAGAATCATTAAATTCAAAATGTTTAATAACAATCATTCAAAATTTTTTCAAAATTTATGCTTCTCCATTCTCCCATGGAGAAGTAAAATGCTCCTTCATAGAATAAATAAAAGATGACCTTAGTAAATTTAAATAATCAAATAGTTAATAATGAAAATTAATAAAAATTAGTGTTATAAGAATTTTATTGTTTACATTTATTTAGAGTTGCGTATTTTGATGTGACGTCACATTTCTCAAATCCCCCCTTCCCCCCTCGTCACAATTGTCTGACCCCCTTCCCCCCCCCCCCAGGTGCGTGACGTCATTTATGGACGGCCCCATGGGCCCCAGGTGAGTCTGTTCTTCACTCATTTTCAGAGGGGGGGGGGGGGCACTTTCGCTGATAAGACATCATCAGAGTGAGGGTCGCCACACGTTTGAAACCATTGTGGGTTTGACAGCAGCACGATGACGATGATGATGATGACGATGGGGGCTGCTTGCACATTCACGAATTGTCGGGGGCCGCAGCAGAGGCCACCAGGGGCACGTCAGTGGGCCCGTGGGCTTTGCATTGAAGACCAATGGCACTGCATACACGGCCTCTTTACTGCACGCATGCGCTTCGATAAGCCCTGCTGGGACCGTCGTCCTGCGCAGCTTTTTCTCGTCCATCATCACCGGAGCGGCAAGATCACGCTCGGTTTAATGTCGAGCTCAAATCGGGGCACAGCCCTCGGCGTGGGAGCTGTGCCGAGGTGCAATCGCTTCCTTCTGCTGGAGCATCAATTACGGATGAGACTTAGTGCACCAACGCCCGTGGGTAGCTGTAACATATGTATGGACGTATGTTGAACTTCTTTCGCACCGTACGACGCCAACCGTGCTAATCGGAGGTGCGGGGGAGGACAACAGACTAACACAAAAAAAAAAACCACTGTTCTAAATAAATTCGTTTTCTGTCCAGATTTAAAAGTGCGTAGCTCCGGTGGCATCCTAATATCGGAAGAGCGTTCCAGAAGAGCATCTGGAAGCGCGCAGATGCGGTGACCATCTTTGTTTGATGGCCAGCCAAAAGCCACTGCGAGGCTGACCAGAGTTTGTGCGATGGTTCATGCTCCTTGACGAGGTCAGCGAAGTATTGTGGTTCGTTTGCGGCAAGCACTTTGTGTGTGATGAGTGCTAACTCGCAATGCGTTCGCTCGGCAACCCAAAGCCAATGCAGGTCGGCGAGCAGTGGACGGACATGGTCCGATCTTGTGGTACCCATCACGACGCTTGCCGCGATGTCTTGTGGAACGTAAGACGCGTTGAGTCAAATTTCGATTTAAAGCTTTCGTGACTGCAAGGATTCATCTTCTTTGGTTCTTTCGGTAAAGTCACCACCACCACGTAGAATGAGAATAAAATAAAAAAATAAAAAGGCCACTTGTGTGTTGTGGCCGAAACGTCGTGAGAATTTTATTGTGTTATTTTATTTTATCAATTTATTATTTTATTCTCATTCTACGTGACTTTACCGAAAGAACCAAAGAAGACGCGTTGAGTCAGTCTGGTAACATCGCAGACTTTAATTACAGTGAGGGAAAAAAAGTATTTGATCCCCTGCTGATTTTGTACGTTTGCCCACTGACAAATAAATAATTAACGAGCTCTCAGTACAGAACTGCGCTTCCACCAAGAAGCTTTGGTGACTACCCTCAGTCCATGCAGGACGTGAAGCACAGCCACAAGCCCTCATATGCTTCGTATATTAAACAATGCATGGGCACACCTCATATGAATATGCATACCATGTTAAATCACATATAGACGCATATGGATGAGCATGCTCCTTGTCACAGTAGAGTGGTTATCGGACGTGCTCCGGGTTTATAAACGGTAAGTCCTCGCTTGACGCGTGTTCGCGCAACGCGTTTTCGTGATAACGCGGTTCTTCCCGTGGAGCACTATTCGCACGACGTGAGAAGTTCCCGTTATATTGCGGAACACGCCCCGTTACAGCGCGGAACACGCCCCGTTACAGCGCGGAACACGCCCCGTTACAGCACGGAACACGCCCCATTACAGCGCGGAACACGCCCCGTTACAGCGCGGAACACGCCCCGTTATAACGTGGAACACGCCCCGTTACAGCGCGGAACACGCACCGTTATAACGTGGAACACGCCCCGTTACAACGTGGAACACGCCCCGTTACAGCGCGGAACACGCCCCGTTATAACGTGGAACACGCCCCGTTACAGCGTGGAACACGCCCCGTTACAATGTGGAACACGCCCCGTTACAATGTGGAACACGCCCCATTACAGCGCGGAACACGCCCCGTTACAACGTGGAACACGCCCCGTTATAACGTGGAACACGCCCCGTTATAACGTGGAACACGCCCCGTTACAACGTGGAACACGCCCCGTTACAGCGCGGAACACGCCCCGTTACAGCGTGGAACACGCCCCGTTACAACGTGGAACACGCCCCGTTACAGCGCGGTTTCTGAGCGGTCGACGACGAACTACTTTCTTGATCTATGCGGCTGAGCGGTGCGATTACAGTACAATACGCGGAGTGATACAGTAACGCGGCGGTGTACCCTCAGTTACTTGCCCCGCCGTCTCACTGCGTGCGCGTGCCTACATCGTATCTCACCAAACTTCATCGCGACAACAATTTACGGAGAAATTGTTTTCCCTCAACGGATTTTTCGCTCGACGCGGCACCTTTCGGGATACGCATCATCTACTCCTCTGTAGAGGCAACACATTTATTGTAACACGTATATACAAAAGGGGTGACTGCCCCTTTACCAGATACAGCCTGGGCTGGTGACCACGCAGCTAACTACACTATACGTAGGAGTTACAGCTACGAAGAGTCGGACCCTCACTCCGGTCCCCGGCCACGTGTTGATGCCTCGTAGGACGTGGAGCTTCCAGCTTGTAGACGTGGAGCTTCCAGCTTGTAGGACGTAGAGCTTCCAGCTTGTAGACGTGGAGCTTACAGCTTGTAGACGTGGAGCTTCCGGCTTGTAGACGTGGAGCTTACAGCTTGTAGACGTGGAGCTTACAGCTTCTAGACGTGGAGCTTACAGCTTGTAGACGTGGAGCTTCCAAATTGTAGGACGTAGAGCTTACAGCTTGTAGACGTGGAGCTTCCAGCTTGTAGGACGTAGAGCTTCCAGCTTGTAGACGTGGAGCTTACAGCTTGTAGACGTGGAGCTTCCTTGTAGACGTGGAGCTTCCAGCTTGTAGACGTTGAGCTTACAGCTTGTAGAGGTGGAGCTTACAGCTTGTAGACGTGGAGCTTCCTTGTAGACGTGGAGCTTCCAGCTTGTAGACGTTGAGCTTACAGCTTGTAGAGGTGGAGCTTCCAGCTTGTAGGACGTGGAGCTTCCAGCTTGTAGACGTAGAGCTTCCAGCTTGTAGACGTAGAGCTTCCAGCTTGTAGACGTAGAGCTTACAGCTTGTAGACGTTGAGCTTCTAGCTTGTAGGACGTAGAGCTTCCAGCTTGTAGACGTAGAGCTTCCTTGTAGACGTGGAGCTTACAGCTTGTAGACGTGGAGCTTCCTTGTAGACGTGGAGCTTACAGCTTGTAGACGTGGAGCTTCCAGCTTCTAGACGTGGAGCTTACAGCTTGTAGACGTGGAGCTTCCAGCTTGTAGGACGTGGAGCTTCCAGCTTGTAGACGTAGAGCTCCAGCTTGTAGACGTGGAGCTTCCAGCTTGTAGACGTGGAGCTTCCAGCTTGTAGATGTGGAGCTTCCAGCTTGTAGGACGTAGAGCTTCCAGCTTGTAGACGTAGAGCTTCCTTGTAGACGTGGAGCTTCCAGCTTGTAGACGTTGAGCTTACAGCTTGTAGACGTGGAGCTTCCTTGTAGACGTGGAGCTTCCAGCTTGTAGACGTTGAGCTTACAGCTTGTAGAGGTGGAGCTTCCAGCTTGTAGGACGTGGAGCTTCCAGCTTGTAGACGTAGAGCTTCCAGCTTGTAGACGTAGAGCTTCCAGCTTGTAGACGTAGAGCTTCCTTGTAGACGTGGAGCTTACAGCTTGTAGACGTGGAGCTTCCTTGTAGACGTGGAGCTTACAGCTTGTAGACGTGGAGCTTCCAGCTTCTAGACGTGGAGCTTACAGCTTATAGACGTGGAGCTTCCAGCTTGTAGGACGTGGAGCTTCCAGCTTGTAGACGTAGAGCTCCAGCTTGTAGACGTGGAGCTTCCAGCTTGTAGACGTGGAGCTTCCAGCTTGTAGATGTGGAGCTTCCAGCTTGTAGGACGTAGAGCTTCCAGCTTGTAGGACGTAGAGCTGCCAGCTTGTAGACGTAGAGCTTCCAGCTTGTAGACGTGGAGCTTCCAGCTTGAGACGTGGAGCTTACAGCTTGTAGACGTGGAGCTTCCAGCTTGTAGACGTGGAGCTTCCAGCTTGTAGACGTGGAGCTTCCAGCTTGAGACGTGGAGCTTCTAGCTTGTAGGACGTAGAGCTTCCAGCTTGTAGACGTAGAGCTTCCAGCTTGTAGACGTGGAGCTTCCAGCTTGAGAC